AATCAAGAAAATAACACAGGCCGACAAGATTTACTTTCCAAGAATCAGACAATACTTTTCCGAAGGATTTCGACGTGCTGAATCCGAATTCGGCCTTAAAATAGACCCATCACGTCAGGTTTTCGAGATATTTTAACCTAAAAGTGCAAAAAACCTGTTTTTAGTCATATTTGATGTCATGTAACATCAAGAGATAATTTTTTCATTTAAAAAGTCAATATTGCGTCTAAAAGTGCTACTCTTCCCCTTTAATATCCATTTTGAAAATTTAAAAAATCTTCATTTGTCTCTGAGTAATCGTTCATTGAATTTTTTGAGTTTGGCGAATTCTTCGAAAACTAAGTAGAAACAGACAAAACTTCGATAATAAAGCAGATTTTAACTACAAACATCTAAATTTTAAATAGTTCTGAGGATTTTCGATATAACTGAATACGAATTCGATATTAAATTCACAAAATTCAAAATGGCGTATACAATAAGGCAGACGATTTATTTCAAATTGATTGTATTTTCCTCAAATATGCCATTTTGAATTCTGTTAATCTGATATCGAATTTGTATTCAGTTATATCGAAAATCCTTAGAACTATTTAAAATTTAGATGTTTGTAGTTAAAATCTGCTTTATTATCGAAGTTTTGTGTTTCTACTTAGTTTTCGAAGAATTCGCCAAACTCAAAAAATTCAATGAACGATTACTCAGAGACAAATAAAGATTTTTTAAATTTTCAAAATGGATATTAAAGGGGAAGAGTAGCACTTTTAGACGCAATATTGACTTTTTAAATAAAAAATTATCACTTGATGTTACATGACATCAAATATAACTAAAAACAGGTTTTTTGCACTTTTAGGTTAAAATATCTCGAAAAGCTGACGTGATGGGTCTATTTTAAGGCCGAATTCGGATTCAGCACGTCGAAATCCTTCGGAAAAATATTGTCTGATTCTTGGAAAGTAAATTAAATCAAATTTTGTTGGCCTGTGTAATTATTATAATTATATTCTTTTCAACTTGAAATTATACTACTTGGATGTACCGGATTTGTATAGACATTTAAACGCAAACGATCTTCAGAAGTGTGTGAGTTATTAGGTTGAGGATAAGTTGGGCCTTCAACGGAAGCGTCAAACATTTCCGTCCACGGTTTTACTGGCTCTGCTTACTATAAAAATATTTAATTTTTCTTTTATGTATTTAAAAGAAAAAAAAACACCGAAAAAAATAGCAAAGACGCTTCTGCAAGGATATATGGACTGCATATTTTAATTTTTGGTGTATTAATGATTTATTCTTCCTGTGTGTAAAAGTATACGTTTCCGCACTGTTCTTTTTAAAACTTTGTCGACGAGATTGTGCTAAAATTACATGTCCATATAGTGCTTGACGAATTTTTATCAATTTCTATTGTCTGATAGCATACGGGTGGACCTGCTACTGCTTTAAAGTTACAACAAAATAGTCTATCCTTCAGGATAATGTTCAGCAACAATTTTGGTGACTATCAGCTCATACAAATTATTAGAATTAGAAAGAATAAATTTGAGCGTCTTTTTTCTCAAGTTTTGATTGTTTTAATCATTCTAAAACATTATTACATTATATTTACAAAATTTTAATTATTTCGACGATTTTCGGAATTTTTATAAACCATTTTTATTTAAAAATTTTTTTCCGATATAATTCATATCGATGCCGAAAGAAAGAAATCAAGCGTAAAAAATATTTAAAAGAAATTTCAGCTATAAAAGCAATAAATGCAATTAAATAACCATGAAGTGCAACAAAAAGAAGAATCTGAAGAAGATTTTCCACATAACCAAATTCATCTTTATCAGACGAATCTTGACTCTTGCCACGTATTAAAGTATCAGCAAACGAATACGGTTCATTCCACTTATCACGTAAACCCGATTCAGTCAATCTTATTATTAATTCATTAAATCTCTCCTTATACGGTGAACCCCTACCCAAATTCATAACTGTTCGAAAACCCCAAAATTTCTCCTTCATTGCCGTCAATGTTGGACGTCCACTTTCATTTTTCGACAATTCTATTGCAGCAACAATAGTTGTACCCCCCTTCAAACAAGAAATATTTTTATTCTTCAAAATCAGTGGTATACAATCAGTTGTCACCTTTCGTGATTTTTGTTTCAATCTCAATAAAGGACCATCATCAGCGTCACCGAATGTAACATCAAACATATTCACAAAAACTAAAAGATCTAAACCCGAACGATCAAGATCATTGAATGTATTAAATTCCATTGTCGACATTACTTGCATATTCATTTCCGTAAAACCAGCAAAAAATATAGAACTACACAAAAATCCCAAAAAAATTAATGAAATAAAAAATAAACGCTCGTGAATTGACGTAGTTGGATTTTCAACACTACCACCGGAGAGTATTGCAATAATATTTATAAATCCCAATTGATCATAGCGAAATAATCCAGTAATAATGGAGAAAAAAGCTACTACTAGTAAAAACATTGTAAACGTCTTATAGAGCGCTGAATTCGCAACAATTTTCTTCTCGCCCTGTATTATTGGTACAATTGCGTAGATATTCTCCCAATTAACCATTCTCGTGAATTCCGTTACAGTTCTTTTTGAATCACGTGAAAATAATATTGTCGTCAATAGAATATCAATTTCATTTCTTACACACATACCAAGCATACTTCCCGCCGTATTATCCTTCAAATTAATGACACCAATTGATGCATTCGCAAACGATACAACAATAAACGAAAAATTCATTGCCTTCGCTAAAACATCGAATGCAACAAAATCCGCTCCCCAGTATTTTATTAAACTGCCACTCGAATTGAATTGTAATTGACTGTAAGGTGGACTGGGATATGCACCAGCTATCAACTTGTAACCATTCATATTTTGTAATTTATTTGGAAACCATTGATAATAGTTTCTTTGTGAAAATTTCTCCATTCTGTATTCACCAGTGAATGGATTAAACGAATGTAACGAAGCATCAAGTGGTTTAGAATAAATATTAAATAATCCCTTCCATTTTTCATCCAACTCCTTTAATTCCAACTGGAAAATTGTTGTGTCAAGAAAAAATTTTAACCACATAAACTCAAGTAGTTCTTTGTAAAGAATTTTTTCTTCAACTATCGAGAATGTTATTATCAAACATTTTGGACGAATTCTATTTGGTGATAGTGCTCTCATAAAATTAATTGAATCAATAATATTTAATTTCGATGAATTATTATTTTTCAGTTCATTGTCAATTATTATAAAAAAACTTGTTGCTCTTGGTTCATCAAAAACGGGTAGGGACACTAGTTTCTTATTTTTCGTTGAACTATTTATCACTAAACAGGGGAATTTTGATAAAATTCCATTAACTATATTGTCATTAGTCAAATATTCCGTTTCATTGTTTATTAATATCACCACTTGATAATTAGTTGAATTTTTTTCAATAAATTTCATTAAAGGTGATAAGTAATTTTTGAAATTAGTGCTTCTTGTCGATTCACAATTTGCAAGAAACAAAAGCAAGAGCCAAAATTTCCATCCATTCATGCTCATTGTTTCGTAATTTAATTGCAACTTTTTATTTTATTAATTTTACATAATTGTAATTTTATAATTTTTTACTACATTGCTCTAAATTTTTTGCCCGTACGTCAAAAGTAAAATAACGTTTTTTCTCTTTAAAATGAAAAATGTGAAAATTGGTATTTCACCTATAATTTTTGTATGTTTATTTAATAACAAATAAAATTATCGTACAGAGAATGGTTTACGAAAGGAAAGTAATGATCTATTTAACTGACAATTTACTATAGATTTTTGATAGCATTGTCCTTGATTTTGTTATTTCAATTGATTTTTCGCTAATACCGGAAGGTTTCTAACGAATTTAAATTTAATCAATTCTTAATGTCAAAGTGTAAAATAATAATAATTTTATAATAGTAATAATTATAATAATAAATAATTATTACAACTATTATTTGCTTTTTGAATAGTATTATTATTAGTATTAGTATTAAAATTATTTTTAAGGAAGAGAAATTAGTACAAAATTAGTTAATAACATACAAAAAAATTTGGAGCAAATGATGCAACAATATTAAAATCAATATTTCTCATTATGAAAGATTGAAAGAGGTTAATATCTTATGAGGAGATTTCTCAATAATTGAAGTTTATATTATATTTCTTTATGCTTCCTGACTCTCAATGAAAGTTTCTCGCGACAAAAATTATACTGATGTCAGAGAAATTGGAGACAATAGTGCATGGGCGAATATAAAATAAACAATTTATATACTCTTAATTGTCACAAAGTCTCCACTATTTTTTCTTCTTAGTAAAAATTGAATGATTATTAAAAGAAAAAATTAATACCGGAAATTTATAATATAACAATTTAGGGAACATTGAGTATCATAAATATTTTTCTTCCACCTAATAAAATATGTTTTGTAAACAAAAATTTGTTTAACTTTCTAATTATTATTCTTGATTTCCTATATATATTTGTCTATAAACATATAATTGCATTTCTCTAATAAACTGAATATAAATTTCGAAACAGCATCCAATAACCAGGATATTTCGCAATGATATAAAGACAAGTGTCAATTAATTTCATTTTAATCAGTCTCTCGAATACTTCAAGCCCAATAACTTCTGTCAGAGGAATATTATATTAAACTTGAAGTTTCTTTAATTTAATGTTGTTTTCGATTTAATTGGGAAAATTTGCAAATCAAATAGAGAAGAAAATATTCTTTATGATTGTTAATTCCAAAATTAAAATATTGAAATTAATTTCAAATTATAAAATTGAAATTAATTGAATAAATATAAAATCGAAATTGACTGTTGAAAAATTAAATAAAAAAAGAACTTGCAGAATAATTATTTACTCTGCTAATGTGTAAATAATTTGTAAAAATAATTAAGTTTTACAATAAATTCGAGTTAATTAAAAATAGTGTGTGAAAACTGCAATAATTGTTGATTAAATAAGCAAAAAAGTGATAGAAATTAAAGAAAAAATAATTTTTTATTAAAATAATTGAAAGAAGATGTTAAAGTAATAAATAAAATTACGATGAAGTGCAAATTATTCTATGTGCTATTGGTTGCATCGACTGGAAATATTTTTCTCACAAACGTTACGAATGGAATTGTTATTAATCAATCATCACGCAATGTAACAAGGTAACACTATAATTTAACTAATTTAGTGATAAATAACATTATGCAACTATTAGTAATTTATTTTCTCTAAAACATATCAAAAAATAGTATTCAATTTCTATTTTATTAAATAAACTTAGCAAATAATTTTTCAATCAATTAATATTTTATAAAATTTGTAGATTCATTTTTTTTTCAATTTTTATTTTACGAAATCGACATTTTATATAATTTGTAATACAAATTTTCATTTTATAATAAATAAAAATAAAAATCTAATATTTCGTTGCAGAAATCAGTCAAACTCCGAATTATCAAAGAGGAATTCAATTGTTGAAGATAGTGGATTAAAAAAAATTGCCGAAAAAGAAGCGACCAATTTGTCAAATATCAAAAAACCTAACGATGATTATAGTTTTCATAAAAAATCCCAATCCTCAAAATTTTTGAATAAATCATCAAAAAATGAAAAAAGAATTGAGCGTCATATTCACAGAAATAATAATCAGAAAAAAAGAGGTTGCAAAAAAATTTGCTATCCTATTTGCTGTAATTACGGTCATCCGTATTATTTAAACAATATCTATAATTCTCCTTATGAAATTTACGATTCTCCAGAGGAAGGAGAAGAAGAAGAAGAAGAAGAAGATTTTAGTGATTATGAAGAGAATTTTTGTTCAGAAGACGAAGACGATAAAACCCAAGAAGATGAAGAAGATAAAAAAAAGAAGACTGAACCTGGTGAAGGTGGAACTAACAAGTCAAACGAACCAACTGGTAAAGCTTCGGGAGGTACAAATAAATTTGGACCAGGAATTTCTGCAACAAAAGAAAATCATTTACAAAAACTATTTTCCGAATTGAAAATCAGTGAAAAGCATATTTTACTACAAACAGTAAGTAAAATTCTTCGAGAATATAATTCCACTCTAAAAGAAAATTATAAAATAACTAATTTAAAAGAAATTTTTCAAAATTCCCACGTTGAAACAATGTTAATTAATTCGATCAGAAATGTACTCAAGAAAGACTATGAAGAACATTCAATAAAATGGATAACAGATGAAATTATTCAATCCGCTCTCATAAATTTCGTGATCAACAACGATTCATCTACAAAAAATTCCCAAAAAACTCTAATTCCAATTGCCGAAGGAAGTTTCAAAATTGGACAATGGATTCACAATAATGAAAATCACGAGTCCTGGAAAGAGGAGAAAAATGAAAAAAATCAATTTAATATTGAAACGCAAATTACTCCAACGATTCATAATGATAAATTAGGAAATGAAATATCATTAACGGTAAATTCAGGAACAGATCCATTGAAAACAAAATTTTCCATTGAAATTGAAAAGAAAAATACAAAATCATTTCCCAGTGAATCGGAAGTTATTGATAATTTACCAACCCAATATTATTCGCAAGAGAGCAAAATTTTAGGTTACAGAAAAAATAATGAGAATTCCGACCGCAATTCATCCAATCAAAATATCCTCCTAACTTCCGAACGTGAAACCAAAGAACAAGATCAATTTTCTCAAGTTTCAAGCAATAAATCAAATTCTCAATTTGAAAAAACCTTCCACGGTGTTTCGAACGGAAATATTAATAATCCCCAATTCTCAAGTTCATTAAATCATCAAGAAATCGCCGAGAAAGACTTGAACCAGTCGAAAAATCGTCATTTCAATGAAAAAATACAGTATCACGAATTACATCGAAATAAAAAACACACCAATCCTGAAACAAATACCAATCAAACATTAATTACCACCGAAAGAAATATTTACAAAAATCCTCAAATTATCCATCTACTTATGAGTGATCAGAAAAAATTTGCATTCGATAAAAATTCTTCTTCAAAACTTCAATCAAATTCTCCATTACCAAAATCAACGAGAAGTGCGAATTCAAATTCAGGTAAAAAAAATAATAAATTTATCGGAGTACTAGGTGATAGAAAAAATATAGTAAATGATGATAATTTTCAAAAAACGACCGGAATTGAAAAAATTGGACAAATCGGCTCGCGGATAATAGATAAAATTAGTAATTCACATTTTAATTTGGAAAATAATGTGAAAGAGGGAAAATTAATTGACAATGATTTACCATCATTGGAGGCATTAATTGTATCTAATACTTCTGTGGCGGTGAATGGGAGTAACATTTTAAAAAAGAATAAATCAAAATATCGAAATTCTTATGTTCTCGGAAAACTTGTTCCGAAAAATAAAGAAAATTCGGAATTTTTGTATAAAGGAAATTTACTGAGATTACCTATTAAATTGTCAAAGTTGAACGACGGTTCCTTCTTGGTAACACTTTTGAATAAGATTCGTAACTGCACACACAAAAGCCATTCTGGAAATCAATCTGGAATTAATAAAAGAGACAGTGGTGAGAAAATGCTTCAAATTTAATTTTTATATTATTAAAATTTAATTTCATTTAAATAATTAATATCTACTAATACTAATAGAAAAGTCATTAACTTTTTCCTTTTTCCTAATAATAACTTCAATTCTACTTTATTTTCTCTGTATGAACGTTTAAATAAACGAAATTTATTTTTTTCTATTTGAAATTCAAATTCTTCTATAATAATACTAGCAAATGTTACACAATTATTTACATAAATAATAAAATTCGTCTAAAGAATTGGAATTATCAATACAATTTTATTGGAACTTCACGAAAGGATTCAATTTATTATGTTAAAAAATTTTTATAATACAATTTTTCGAAGGAATGAAATTATTTTTATAAGTAGTAAAATTCTTCACAAGAATTAAATTATTTTTAAAAATATAGGTAATAAAATACTTTCCAGGAATGTAATTATCTTCAATGCAATTTTAATTAAATTTTACGAAAAGATTCGATTATTTTTAAAAATTGTAATAAAAATCTTGTAAAGAATTGAACAATTCTCAAAAGTTATGATAACATTTTCTATAAGAATTCAATTATTTTCATAAATAATAAATTTCTTTGCATGAATTTATTTTTTTTTTGTCAATTTTTATAAACTAGAAAGAATTTTTAACAATTACAATTAAAATTATTTAAAAAAAAACTCCAATATTATCAAAAAACTTAAACAAAATTCTTCAAAAGAATTAAATTATTTGCGAAAACTTTAATAGTAATTATTCTTCGAAATAATTCAATTATTTTCAATATTTTAATAAAATTTCTTGAATGAATTCAATCATTTAAAAAAATTGTAATAAAATTCTGCAAGAAGAATTTCATTTCCAAAAAATTAAAACAAAAATTGAAATTTGATTTTCTAAAAATTGTAATAAAATTCAATAATCAAATGTTTAATTATAATTATTAACAAACATGAATATTTAAAAAAAACTTCAAGGAAATTCTGCATAAAATATTTTTTTATTTTTAATATTATAGACAGTAATTTTTGAAAATATATTTTGGTCGAAACAAATATTTTGTTAATTTTTCAATTAATTATTTTCAGGAATTCAATTATCTTCAAAAAATTTTAATAAAAATTCTTCAATAATGAAGATTCTCCAAAAATCTTATTTTTCCATAATTTCTACGAATTCAATTATTCAAAACTTTCAATAAACTTGTCAAATAAATTTTCATTACTTTTAACAATGGCAACTCTAAAACTTCAAAATCAAAATTTCTTAATTATTTTCTAGAATCTTTTACTAAAATTTTTTCTATATCAATATTTTTGAAAAAGTTCATTAATTTAATTTCACTAAATTTTGATTATTCGAAAATATTTTAATTGTAATACGTTCAAAAATTGCAAAAAATTACTAATGACTATTTTAAAAAAAATTTGAATCAAAACTTTTTAAAGAACTAAGTTGTTTAGAATTTTAATTAAAATTATTAAAAATTTAATTTGAAACCATTAGACAATTAATTATTTCTAAAATTTTCTACTAAAATTTGTCTACAATTCAATTATTTTCTAGATTTCTTTTCTAAATAAATTATTTTAAATAAATTTTGAAAAAGTTCTTTAAAAATTCAATTATTCAAAGAAAAAAAAGTTCACTTAAAATGCGTTTCAAATTCGATTATTTTCTACTTAATTTCACGAAATTTTGATTATTTGAAAATTTTTGCTATTGAATCTATCTTCAAAAATTCCAAAAAATTACTAATGAATAACTAATTAAAAAAAAATATATATATAATTATAATAAAAATTATAAATTAATTCTTACAGAAGGAAAAACATTAGAAAAGGACGAATCGCCTAAACAAAATTTCAATGACACCGAAATCGACGCAAAAAAACCAAAAGAATATTTAAAAGAAGCTAATTTGACAACCAGTCCCAAAGAAGATAAATTTGATGAACACGAACAATACAAACAATATTTAGAAACTCTGTTAGACGTTAATGACATTCCCACAAGTGACAGATCAGTCGTTATTACCAATATTTTGGAAAAAAAAATTTTTAATAGCGAAGAATCTAATTTAGAAATAAGCAAAAATAATGGAAGTAAAAAAGATTATTTGAAAAATAATTTAATAATTGAGAAAATTACTTTTAAACCAAATAAACAAAACAGAAATATAAATGAATATCGAGAAAGTAGTACAAATAATGTTAATGCGGCTGTTGATATTATAAAAAATCTCCTAAATTGGTTACAGGAGTTTATATTGACAACTTTAAATGTTGAAAAAAAGAATTAATTATGTAAAATTAAATTCTATTTTCTCCCCGGTAAATTCTTTCATTCTATTCGTATTTGTCAACAATTTAATTATTAATTAATTAATTATTATTTATTTATAATATTAACAAAACAGGACGTTAATTTGCAATTTGTATGACTGTATAGACGATTATGCTACAATGGCATATAACTATTAACAATTTGTAATTAATATTGTATAAAGTTTATACTCTTAATTATAAAAAATATATAATATTAATTATAAATGTGTTCTCTGTGTTGTGTACGACCGGTTGCACAATGTGCTACAATGTAAACATAATTATAAGTACCATTATTTATACAAATGTACGATTATTTATTACAACTACAATTAAAATATTTTATCTCTCAAAATATATCACTTTAATATAAATTAAGTTTAATTGTCAAGTAATAAAAGGAGAAAAACAAAAGTTTAACAATTCTAACCTCAAATTTCGTCGTGATCTAAAATTTCTCTACTTTTACCTCTAAGTATAAAGTAATCGCACTAATAATACAAGTACAATTTTGTATCATTTTTACTATTGTAAATCAGTAAAAAATAAGTACCTACACTATTCACTGATTATTTATTTCAAATTATAAAATTATACGCAAAATTTCACACTTTGAATGCTTTGAAACTTCAAAATTTTTCAAACTTTACTACGACGCCTGTCGACGGGAATTGTTACTTAATCGCAACTTACTATCTTTCGTCGGTAAATTTCCCAGTCGGTAATGTCAATTTTTAATTTACGGTCCATTTAAACTAACCTCAAAATGAAGAAAAACAAAAATTATTTCTGCCACTTTGTATAATTTATTTCTACGTCTATTATTACTGTGAATAATGAATATAAAGTGTTTATTAATAAGAAAAATAAATTTCAAATCATTCAAGTATTTATATTATAATGTTCCTAGAGTTTTTACCATATAATTCTGAATTTGCAATTTTTGCATTTTTCAAACAACAAAAATGAAGTCATTTCACAAAAATAGTTGTCAAGAATAAGATAAATCATTGTATTTATCGCTTGTCATTTGGAGTAATTTTTACAAACAACAAAGGATGTGATCAGTGAAAAGTAATTTAAAAGCAAACAGAAACATTTGCTTTATTTCTCGCTCGATTCAACTGTATACCCTATGCTTTGCAATTACAATGCAAAATTGTATATTAATCGGAGTCAGTTAATATTTCTTGAATTTTGTACTTTTTTGAAACTCTCCAGACGGTAAGTGTTTATAATTAATTTAATAGTTTTTCATTTGACAATTATTCTATATTTTTCTACATCTTTGATCAAATATTCAACAATTATTTATGTTCCCAAAGTTTTGAATGTCGAAATTAAAGAAATTTATGTTTTTTCAAATTGTATTATAATATTGCATCTTTTATTGGAAAATAATTTATAAAGTTTTAAATATTGTTTAATTTACGTTTCTGTATTCTGTCAATAATTTTTGGAAAAACGGAAAAAAAATAATTCGTTCATTTGAACATTCCGAATTTTTGGAGCATAATTATTGATTCTATATTTTTTTTATCTCTTAGTGGACCAAATATTCTACATTTTTTACATCTTCCGGGTGGTCACATGTCAGTAAAGTCAGGGAAACAAAATTTTCGCCTGTAAAGTCAGGAAAATAACATTTTTGTCAGTAAAATCAGTAAAATTAGGGAAATTAAGAAAATTGAGACTTTTTTCGACTTATTTTCAAAAATTGCGACGTTTTTGACATTTCTTCCAAACGTTGCAACAAAATACAGCAATTTTTAATAAAAAAGTTCAACTTATTTTGATTTTTATAATGCGAAAAATAACTATAAACAAATCTTTCAAAAATTGTTTTTCAATCATTTTTTAACATAGTTAAATTTTTCAAATATATTTATAATAAAAATCCTTTTGAATAGTTGAAATTTTGTCAAATTTAATTGAAATTAATTAATTTATTTCAAGTATTTTTCTACAATTTTAAAAAAAATCAACATTTGAAGAATTTTTATTGCAAATTTTGAAAATAATTGAATTATCAAAAATGTTAATGGAAAATCTTTAAAGGTAATTTTTTAAATGAAAATTAATGAAAATTAGCTTTTAATTTTTAAAAATTCAATATTTTCATTCATTTTCAAATACATATTTACAAAAATTCAAATACATACAAAAATAATATAACATTTTAGAATTATTTTTAAGTATTTTTGAAAAAACAATCATGTTCAAAATTTTTAATTAAAATTCATCAAAAAATTATCTTGTTTTTTTAAATTATACAAAAATTCTTTTAAGAAATTCAATTATTTTTGAAAAATTACATTAAAATATTTTTAAAAACTAATTATTCGAATTATTTTATTTTTATTTATATTTTTCAAAAATTAAATTATTTTAAAAAGATTTTACCAAATTTTAATTGTTGGAAAATTTTTTAAAATTGAAAAACTATTATCTTTTAAAAATTATTTTTAAATATTTAAAAATTAATTGTAAGAATTTCTTTATAATTTTTTGAAAATATACATTAATAACTTAAAAAAAACTATGGAGAGTTACAATTATTATAAAAAATTGAGTTTTTGTATTTAAATAATCGAATTCTAGCAGAACTTTTGAAAAATTATTTAAATTAATTTATTCAGAAATGAGGTTTAGTTGAAAATTGTAGAAAATAATTGATTCAGGAATAAGGATTACAATTGTAATTTTTAGAAATTATTAAAATTCATAAATTTTACTCATTTTCTGTAAACATTCATATTTTCTTGTAAAAAGAATTTTGTCAGGGAGAATAATTTTAATGTCAGTAAATTGTCAGGGAAATTGAGAAACTGAAAATTGTGACCACCCTGATCTTGATTGACCAAATATTCTACAATTATTTATTTTGTATTTTTTTAGATTTTAGTTGACCAACAAAATGCTGTTGGAAGAATCTTCAATTAGTGGTAAACTATCGATTGAGAAGTAAAAAAAATAATTTATATAAAAAATGACAGTAAGTGGGTACGACGCTATTCCTCACTACCATTCAGGTAGTCGAGATTTTTGTCACTGGTTAACGCATATCAAATTGACGAAAATTTTAATATTGGTTTCGATTATCCTCTTCATTGTTCCACTATTCGCTCATTATTATTTATCAAAGGTAAGATGTATTTTGCGAATAATAATTTATTTACTTTACTCAATTTATTTAATTAATTTTTTTAATTTTATTTACGTTTTCATTTATTTAATTTTTATTTAGTTTACTCATTTAATTTACTTTTTATTTACTTTATTCATTTGTAATAGTCGACTTAATTCTCTCTTTCCATCATCAGGTTGAGTCGAGTTCCTCGAATTTGAACATACATCGCACTCGTTCGAAATTGGAGGCTTTCGAGGATTTCACATCAATGAAGGCAGTGGATTTAAAGGCAAGAATCGAGGAAATGTTACGAATTAAAGCGTCGGTCAGCAATGAACTACGCGATTTGGAGGCGAAACGTCAGAGATTACAAACGGAAGTGAGTGGATTTACGCAAAGAATTAATGAATTAAAACAGGAATTGCTTCATCAGCAGATGGATTTGGATCGTTTGAAAATTAGTGTCGTTCAAGCGCAGGCAGCACAACGTGAAGCTGTCGAAAGAAATACTCCTGAATTGGCATTGCCGAAGAGAATCTTAATCAACGAAATTCCCGTTACCGTGCCGAGTACAGATCCAAGAGGTTGTAAAATGTACAATTGTTTCGATCACAGTCGTTGTGCATTGACAAGTGGATTTCCCGTTTATCTCTACGATCCCGATCAATATTCGGTTGTGAATTCCCGATGGGATGTGGATGGTTTTTTGAAGACAACAATTAAACAAACATTTGGTACGTTGTTCAAATATTTCTTTGAGTTTTACAGGGTTGACAAAGTTTAGGGAAATCAGGGGATTTAGGAAAAAGTCAGGGATTTTTATTAAAAGTACTGGAAAAAATTAAATGTTTGGAATTTATAAGAAAATTCTGAATTTTTCTGACTTTTTTGTTTGCCTTATAAACTATGAAATTGCTATGAATTCTAAAAAAACCTTAAACGTTTTATTTTTCTGACAATAATCAATTTTGAAAAACTCAATTACATTGAAGAACTACTATAAAGTTATTACTTATAAATAATTTAATGAAGTATTTTTTTTGAAAAATTTTAATTTCAATTCTATTGAAATTAGTTTCAATTTTAAAAATTTAACGCAATTCTTTGAAAGAATTCAACAATTTTAATAAATACTAAAATTCTTTCGAAAAATTCAATTATTTTCAAACATTTTTTAAAAAATTCTTGCCAACATTTCAATTATCTTCATAAATGAATAGCAAAATTCTTCGCCAAAATTCAATTATGTTCAGGAATTTTTATAAAATTCATTGTAAAATTAAATTATTTTCACAAATAACAATATTCAACACAAGAATTCAATTATTTTTAAAATTAACAAAATTCTTCGTAGAAATTCAATTATTTTCAAAAAATTTTTAAAAAATTCTCGTCAACATTTCAATTATCTTTATAAATAGCAAAATTCTTCGTCAAAATTCAATTATATTCAGGAATTTTAATAGAATTCATTGTAAAATTCAATAATTTTCATAAATAACAATATTCCTCACAAGAATTTAATTACTTTCAAAATTAATCAAATTCTTCGTAAAAATTCAATTATTTTCAAAAAATCGGAAAAAAATTGTCGTTAACATTTCAATTAACTTTATATACGAATAGCAAAATTCAATTATTTTCAGGAATTTTTTAAAATTCATTGTAAAATTCAATTATTTTCATAAATAACAATGTTCATCACATGAATTCAATTATTTTCAAAATTAACAAAATTCTTCGTAAAAATTCAATTATTTTCAAAAAATCTGAAAAAAATTGTCAACATTTTAATTAACTTTATAAACGAATAGCAAAATTCTTCGACAAAATTCAATTATTTTCATGAATAACAATGTTCATCACATGAATTCAATTATTTTCAAAATTAACAAAATTCTTCGTAAAAATTCAATTATTTTCAAAAAATCTGAAAAAAATTGTCAACATTTTAATTAACTTTATAAACGAATAGCAAAGTTCTTCGACAAAATTAAATTTATTTTCAGGGATTTTTTTAAATTCATTGTAAAAATTAAATTATTTTCATAAATAACAATATTCATCACATGAATTCAATTATTTTCAAAATTAATAAAATTCTATGTAGAAATTCAATTATTTTCAAAAAATTAAAAAAAAAATTGTCGTCAACATTTCAATTATCTTTGTAAATAGCAAAATTCTTCGTCAAAATTAAATTATTTTCAGGAATTTTTTAAAATTCATTGTAAAATTAAATTATTTTCAGGAATTTTTTAAAATTCATTGTAAAATTAAATTATTTTCAGGAATTTTTTAAAATTCATTGTAAAATTAAATTATTTGCATAAATAACAATATTCATCACATGAATTCAATTATTTTCAAAATTAGATTTAATAAAAATTTAATAAAAATAGAATTTGCATAATTTTTTTTTTGAAAAATAATGAAATTCTTCTGAGAAAGTCAATTATTTCCAATACAATTGATAATATTTTTAATAAAATCAAATTTTATTAAAACTTTTTGAAATAATTAAATCCCTGCAAAAAAATTTATTATTTCTACAAGTAATTGAATCTTTGCAAAATTTTAAAAAATAAGTGAATTTTTGGGAAGAATTTTATTAAAATTGTATTTAAAATGATTGAATCCCTGTGAAAAATGTACTCTTTATTGATATTATTGAATTCTTTAGAAGAATTTAAAATAAATTTTTTTAAATAATTTAATTTTCCATGAAATTCAATTAAAATTATATTGAAAATAATTGAATTCTTGAATTGAATTTTAAAAGTTTTTTAAATAATTGACCTTTTGTGAAAAATCCAATTATTTTTTAAAAATAATTGAATTTTCTCGGAGCATTTTTACCAGATTTTTAATAATAATTGAAATTTTTGGAAGAAGTCTATTAAAATTGTATTGAAAGTAAGTGAAATCCTAATAAAATTTTTTTTATTTATATAAAAATAATTGAATTTTTAACGAAGATTTTTATTATTTATAAATTGACTTTTTCAAAGAATTTTATAACAATTATTGAAAATAATTAAATTCTTCTTAAAATTAAATTATTTTCAAAATTTTCAGTAAAAATTATTAAAAAAAACTTTATTATTTTCAAGAATATTGTAATAAATTCTTAAAAATAAATCAATAATTTTAAAGAATTTTAATTAAAAATTTTCCAAGAAATTTTTTAATACAATTTTAATTACATTTTCTCGAAAGAATTCAATTATTCATAAAATTCTTGAAATGAATGAATGAATGAATGAAATTATTTTCAAATTTTTTAAAAATATTTTACCAGAATTTAATAATTTTCAGTACTTTCATTTTAAAATTTTAAACATTTAAAAAGAAAAATTATTTAAAAAGTTAGGAAACAAAACAACAACAAACTGCGAATGGAGAATATTGAATATTGATTTTTAAATTTTCTGTTAAAAAAAGAAAAAGAAAAGAAAACCATTTTTTTTTCTCTTTTTTCGTCTTTTCATAAGTTTACTTACACATCACTTTTCCAGGTTACAATCCGCATTTAACGGCAAATCCCGTCGAGGCTTGCATCTACATTGTCCTCGTTGGAGAAGCCCTCTCGGTACAAAAATCAAATCAAAAGGATAGATATCCAGTAGACGTGAAGAAACTCCACTCGTTACCCTACTGGGGTGGTGATGGCAGAAATCACATTCTCCTGAATCTTGCACGTCGCGATTTGTCCGTCGAGGCTGGCGATATATTCAAAAACATTGAAACTGGTCGTGCAATTATTGTTCAATCGACTTTCCATAGAAATCAATTCCGGGACAATTTTGATTTAATTGTACCGCCAATATTGGGACCACCGGGTGGTGATGTTTGGCAGGAGTGCGCACAAATGTTACCAGCGCGAAGAAGATATTTACTCTCATTTCAGGGTGAGATGAAATCATTGAAAATGACAACCACCCGTCAGATGGACGATGCCGAGGCCGATTTAGAGAAACTCGCAATCGATGAGAATAATTTGGATAATTTTATTATTCAACATTTAAAAGACATGAGTATGGGAACGACTTTGGATAGATTTTTCATTCAGTTTGAATGTATACCAGCGTCGGGTGATGGAAGAGTGGTGGAAGTTTTGGATTGGTCCCTGTGCGGTACTGATTCATCGCGAAGAGCAATTCTGAAGGAATCGACGTTTGCGTTGATATTGGCGCCGAGTAATTCGACATTGGTCACTACGTCGTCGATACAAGCGAGACTTTATGAAGCATTGCGATCGGGTTCTATTCCTGTTATTTTAGGTGGAGATCAGATATTTCTTAGTTATAAGGAGGTCATCTCTTGGAGGAGAGCGGCGATTATTTTGCCGAAAGCAAGAGTGACGGAAATGCATTTCTTATTGCGTGCAATACCTGATAGCGATTTACTGGATATGCGAAGACACGGTAGACTCATATGGGAACGTTATTTGGGAACTGCTCAGGGCGCTGTGGACACGATTGTTGCATCTATACGCGATCGACTTGGAATTCCTCCTTTACCCGCTCCCCAGACTGCCAGTCCAAGTGTGTTCAACGAAAGTTTTGTGGTATGAGACATTTTTAATTATTTTTTTAAGAATCATCTTTTCTCAATTAGTTGATTAATTTAAATTTATTGAAATAACAGCGTTGCCAATTTTATTTCAGTAAATAATTAAATTTTAAAATTGCTTTCTGTAATATAATAATTTATTATAATTAACTAATTAATTATAATTAACTTTATTATAATTAACTTATTATAATTAATTTAATTAACTTATTATAATTAACTTAGTTGAAAACAGTTGCAATTTTAAGAGTTAATTAAATTTTAGAAGGTTTTAAAATAAAATTTTTGAAAACTTCAACTGTTTTAAAAGAATTAATAATAATTAATTATTTGTTTAAATAATGATTTATGTTTTACATAATTTTATTTAAAATTCTGAAAATGTTAGGTTTCTGAGAATTTTTAATTCAATTTTTTAGTTATTGGAATTTCCAAAACCATCTTATTAAAGAACTATTAAATGTTGTTTTTTAACTATTAAATTATTTTTAACATTTTTAGAAAGACATAAATTATTTCCTAAAATTTTGACAAAATTTTTCGAAACATTCAATTACTTAAAATACAATTTTAATAAAAGTTTTCAAACGGTTTCAATTCTTTTTAAAAATTTTAATAAATTTTTTTCTAAAAAATACAATTATTCGCATAAGTGAAGTGTTTTTGAAGAGCCCAAAAATATTAAGGCTAAATGCCATAAAAAAGAAGAAAAAATGTTGAATTTTAAGAAATTCGGTTATTCGAATTTTTGATAATTTTTAATAATTTCAAATTTTTAACCAATTGATAGAGACTATTAAATAAGTAAAGTGTTTTTGAAGAGCCCAAAAATAATGAAGCTAAATGCCATAAAAAAGAAGAAAAAATGTTAAATTTTAAGAAATTCGGTTATTCGAATTTTTGATAATTTTTAATAATTTCAAATTTTTAACCAAAGGATAGAGACTATTAAATAAGTAAAGTGTTTTTGAAGAGCCCAAAAATAATAAAGCTAAATGCCATAAAAAAGAAGAAAAAATGTTAAATTTTAAGAAATTCGTTTTTTCGAATTTTTGCAATTATTAATAATCATGATTATTTGAAATAGGTATTACAAAAAAATTCTTCATAAAATTCAAATACGTTCAAAATTTTTAATAAAAATTCCACTATTTAAAAAAAATTTAATTAAATTCTTCAAAACAATTCAATTATTTTCAAACATTTTGAATAATATTTATGTTTGCCAGTATAATAAGTAGCATTAAAAGGTCCAAATTGCATCTAAAATAATTTAATTTCGAAGGAGTTACAATTAAAATTATTATTAATTGGTTACTTTTAAATAGATTCAAATTTAAATTTTTTTTAAAAAGTCGAAATTTTAATAATTTATATTTGAAATTCTGAAAAATTAAAGTTTTGAAAAATTTTATTTTAAAATTTTAAATTATCTGAAATTAGATATTTAGAATATTTTAATTCTATTATTTAAAAGATCAATGAATTTTTATAGACAAATAAATGAAATTTTTTAAAATATTTCAACTTTTCTAAAATTCTATTAAAAATAATTTAATTTTTTAAAAGAGTTTAATTGAAATGTTTAAAAATAATCCAGGAAAATTAGTTTTATTTCCAAAATAGATAATAGATTCTAAAAATTAATTGGAATTTTGGGAAATTGAATTGAAAGTAATTAAATTTTCTTACTGAATTTTATTGGAAATTGAAAAAAAAATATTTTGCAAACAATTTAAGTTTCAAAATCAAATTTTTATGTTTAAAAATTATTATTTATTATAATTGAACTACTTTGAGATTTTTTTGTAATAGGAATCAGGACAAAAATCAATTTTCTGTCTCGAGATCAGAAAAATGTCAGAGAAAATCAAAATCGAATTTTTTTTAAGACCCAGATTAAACTAAAATTAATAAAATTACAATTTATTAAATTGAAATATTAAATTAAATTTATTAAATTAAATTTTAAAAAATTACAATTTATTTGATTAAATTAAAATTATAAAAATTAAAATTTATAATTAATTTAATTAAATTTGAATGACAAAAATTACAATTTATTAAGTTAAATGTAAATTAAAAAAATTACAAGTAAGCACATAAAATTAATTAATTTTATCTGACAAACTTTTTATGAAATCAATCCGAAATTTTTACTGATTTCCATTTTTCAGCCTTTAAAATCTGACTCAATAATATCGGAGTCAGAAGCTGAGGAGAGCCTTGGCCCTCTGGAGCCCCCGTATTCATCTCCTTCTTTCAAGAGAAATTACACAATTATGCTCACACAAGGCTATGAAATGTGGAATGACTGGATGGATCCATTCTATCTATATCCTCAACTTCCGTTCGACACTGTCTTGCCGAGTGATGCAAAATTTTTAGGTAAAATGCTCCTACACTTTTTTTTTGCTCTTTTTAAATTTCCTTTCATAAATGGATCCTACTAAAATGTAGAATAATTCTTGAATAATAAATTCTTTCTGATAAAATATTCTAATATTTTATCACAAAAGAATTTTTAAAGTTTAATTTAAAAACAACTTAAAATTTTAATAATTTTTTTATGATTGCAGGATCAGAAGTGGGATTTAGACCAATTGGTAAAGGAGCTGGCGGAGCTGGTAAAGAATTTAGTGAGTCTCTTGGAGGAAATCATCCGAGAGAACAATTTACGATAGTAATGTTAACTTATGAGAGGGAACAGGTTTTAATTAGTTCTCTCGCTCGACTTTACGGCTTACCTTATTTAAATAAGGTACTTGTAGTTTGGAACAGTCCAAAACCACCAATGGAGGATCTTCGTTGGCCCAACATTGGAGTGCCAATTCACGTAAAAAATATTTTACCAATTTTTCAATTAATTCAAATAATTAAATAGCGATTGTAACTATAAAAATATTATAAGCAACTTCATGCTATAAATTAACAAATTATCTTTTACTTCAGGTGATAAAAGCTCCAAGAAATAGTTTAAATAATCGATTTTTACCATTTGATGCAATTGAAACTGAAGCTGTTTTGTCTATTGACGATGATGCTCATTTAAGACATGACGAAATAATGTTTGCCTTCAGGTCAGTATTTTTAATTTTAGTTAATTTTAATTTTAACTTGAGTTAAATAACTATATTAATCTTCATATTATTTCATTCACTAGCCAAATCATCCGCGCGGGAATGTTTTGTTACGCTATTTATTGTAAACAATTTAAAGTTATTTTAATTTAAGTAATTTTCAAAGAAATACTTATTATGACACATAACTGAAAAACTAATTAGAATTAAATTTTCAAATTATATTATATATTTTTAAACTTTAAAGTATATAAAAAAACTTTAACAAATTTTGATACTAATTTCAAATTTGACATCAGATTTTCAAAATTGAAAATAATTAAACTTTCTTGTACGAGGAAAATTGAATTTCGCAAAAATTGTTATTTGATACCTAAATTAAAAATAATCTTCATTACGAAAATTTTAATTATTCTGAAAAATAGAAGAGGTAAAAAAATTATTATATAATCAACTTTCTGAACAAAGAATATAAATAATATTTTTTTTTAGAGAAGTTCCACTACTTTTAATTCGCAAATTTTCAAAAGAATTTTGAAAAAATCAATTATTTAATAAAATTTTATGGTATTTATTTTTCACAATAATTCAATTACTTTCACTAATAATAAAATTTTTCATGAAAATTCAATTCCTTTTAAACATTTTAATAAACTTTTCCGCAATAATTCAATTATTTTCAAAAGTAATAAAATTCTTCTCTGCAATTCAATTATTTTTGAGAATTATAATAAAATTCCTAGCAACTATTCAATTATTTTCATAAATAATAAAATTCATAGCAGGACTTCAATTATTTTTTATACAATTTTACAGGAATTTCTCAAAAAATGTAATAATTCTTAAAAACTTAATTTCAATTCTTTCGAAAAAATCAATTATTTAAAAAAATGTTTTTTAAAATATTTTTTGGAAGGATTGAATAATTATTTTCAAAAATGTAATAAAATTATTCGAAAGAAATTAATTGTTTTAAATACAATTTTAATTAAATTTTTTTTAAATAATTCAATTATTTTTTAAAAATTTTAATTAAATTTTTTCTAAGAATTCAATTAATTACACAAATAATTTTTCGAAAGAATTCAATTATTAAAGATAAATAAGAAAATTACTCCCGAAAATTCAATTATTTTGAGGTATGTATTTTAATAAAATTCTTTTCATAATTCAATTATTTTCATAAATAACAATATTCCTCACAATAATTCAATTATTTTTAAAAGTAATAAATTTCTTCTTGGAAATTCCATTATATTTTTAAAAATTCTAATAAATCGTTAGTAAGAATTCAATTATTTTCATAAATAATAAAATGTTTTTTAGGAATTCAATTATTCTCAAAAAAATTTAATAAAATTTCCCACAGACATTCAATTATTGCCAAGTTTTTTAATAGAATTCTTTGTAAATTTTAATTATTTAAAAAAAATTTTCGCATTTCAATGATTTTCAATATCTACTGTATTCATAAAATTTTCAAACAGAATTCAATTATTTAAAAAATGGTTTGTAAACATTTTCGTAAGAATTCAATTCTTTTCATGAATAATAAAAATTTTTATCAATTCAATTATTCAAATCATAATTTGCATAAAATTATTCGAAAGGAATGAATTATTTAAAATTTTTTATAAAATTCTTCGCAATAATTAAATTATTTTTTATATATATTTTAAATTCTTTCATGAATAATAAAATTCGTAGCAAGAATTCAATTTATTAGCAGGATAAGAAAAAAGTAAATATTTTTGATGAAAATTAGGAAAAAGTCAGGAAAATAAAAAATATGGAATGGTTAAAATCATTATTTTATATTATAAGAATATTGTTATTGTAACTTCTTAAAAATTATTTCAAGGAATTCTGCGATGAGTTTTATTTCTTAAAATAATTTAATTATTGCGAAGAATTTTATAAAAAAGTTTCAAACAATTGACTTTAAAAAAAAAAAAAATTATGCAAATTATATTTTTATTAATTGAATTCTTTTGGGAAATTTTATTAGAATAATTTTTACACAAATTTTTAAATTAAGAAAAATTTTTGAAAATAATTGAATTCTTGTGATGAATATTGTTATTAATAAAAATAATTGACTCTCTCCGAGTGATTTTATTATTTATGAAAATAATTAAATCCCTGAAAAGTATTTTAAAATTTATGAAAATAGTTGAATTACTGCGAAGAATTGAATTCCAAATTTATAAAAATTTGGATTTTTTCGAAAAAATTTATGCAAATTCTATTTTAAATAATTGAATTCATGGGAAATTTTTTGGAAAATAATTGAATGTTTGCGTAGAATATTATAAAAATTTTTGTTTAATAATTGAATTCTTTTGGGAAATTTGATTAAAATAGTAAAATATTGAAAATCATTGAATTCTTGTGATAAATACTATAATTATTTATGAAAAGAATTGAATTTTGTCGAAGAATTTTGCTATTCGTTTATAAAGTTAATTGAAATGTTGACAATTTTTTCAGATCTTTTGAAAATAATTGAATTTCTACGAATAATTTTATTAATTTTGAAAATAATTAAATTCTTGTGAGAAATATTGTTATTTATGAAAATAATTAAATGTCTGCGTACAATTTTATTGAAAATTGTTTTTAAATAATTGAATTCTTTTGGGTAATTTTATTAAAATAGTAGATATATTGAAAATCATTGAAATGAGAAAATTTTTTGAAAATAATTGAAATTTTGACAAGAATTTTATTAAAATAATTTTTGAAAATTGAATTTTGAAGAAGAATTTTTTCGAGATTTTTTTTTGTAGATTTTGATCGTAATTGAATTTTGTGATAAGAATTTTATTACTTTTAAAACTAATTGAATTTCTGCAATCATTTGTAACTTCTTTAAAATTCAATTTTTTTTAGTGTTTTTAACTAAAATTCTTCTATAAATCCATTATTTTTAATAATTAATTAAATATAGATTGACAAATTTAACTAATTTTAGAAGATTTTGAATTATTAAAATTTTTTCAAAAATCTAAGTTCATTAAAATTTCTAATTAAATTCATTCAAGATTGAAATTTTATATAATTGAAATTGAAACCGTTTGAAGTTCATTTATTTATGAAAATTGTAAACGCAACTCTTAAAATTGAATTAATTTTGAAATATTTAAGTAAAATTAATCATTAAATAATTTATTTATTTTATGATAGTTGTTCAAGATTTAAGTTATTTAAAAATAAATTTTTGTAAGATATTTTAAAAATTGAAGGTTTTGTATTAGAATTCATATTTTGTTTTTATTAAAAAAAAATTTGAATTAAAAAGTTTTACGTTCTATTACTTTTTAAAATTGCTAATTTTATTTAAAATAGTGAGTGAGAAGTCAGCCGCGCGCGAATTGTTGCTAGTTTTAATTTTAACTATTTAAATTATTTAACTAATTTTTTAATTTTAATTTTTAATTTAAAGTTAATTTTTATTTTGACCAACTTTAGTTTAACTTTAGTTTATTTACATATAAAATTTCTTATTCATTCTATGATTTTTTTTCAGAGTCTGGAGAGAACATCGTGATCGCGTGGTGGGTTTTCCTGGACGTTTTCACGCTTGGGATCAAAATTACAATAATGCGTGGAATTACAATTCGAATTATTCCTGTGAATTGTCGATGGTTTTGACGGGAGCTGCATTTATACACAAACATTATACATATTTATATACTCATTGGCTTCCTCAGGCAATAAGAGACAAAGTTGACGAATATATGAATTGCGAGGATATTGCAATGAACTTTTTAATATCACATATCACTAGGAAACCGCCCGTTAAGGTTTAAATTTTATTCAATTGATTTCGAATAAATATAAACGTATAAAATACAAAACATATAAATTCTATAATTATAGATTCAATTTTAACAAGAAATTATAATTTAAACAATAATTATGAGTTAAGTGTATAAAAATTAACAAAAAATTTCGTGTTTAGGTAACTTCACGATGGACTTTCCGTTGTCCAGGATGTCCAGTTTCACTCTCAGAGGATGACACGCATTTTCAGGAGAGACACAAGTGTATAAATTTCTTTTCTCAGGTAAAATATTATTTATCGTTACATTCTACTTTTTTTATTAATAATTTATTTATTTATATACTCTGAAGAAAAGGGAGAGAAAGTAATAGATTTTTCAAAAAATTGAAATATAAATTTTAATGTAATTTTCCATTTATATTTTAGGTTTTTGGATATATGCCACTGTTGAATACTCAATATCGAGCAGACTCGATTCTTTTCAAAACGAGAATACCACACGATAAGCAGAAATGTTTTAAATTTATATAAAGTGCCATATTGTATGACATGCCATATTCCAAAATTCTAGACTGATCATTTTTGATATCAATGTGAAGTGAGTACAGAATAATTTTCTATTATCAGGGATTTCAAATTGAATATTTGAAAGTGTGTAAATTGATAATATGTATATATAAATATTTAATTGTTAAATTATTCTTTTTTCTTGTCTAAAATCAATAGTTGAACAAAAATTTGTTAACATTGGTATATAATGATAGTTATCTATTGTAATATTGTACAATATTTTCATTCAATTAATTTTTAGCTACATGACAACTTTTTTTTTTAATTATAATTTGATTAACTAACGTTTGTAGTATTACAAACGAAATTTTATTTATCGATCAACTTTATCAATTTAGGAAAAATAATTCTTTTTATCGTTAGAATTAACATTCAAAAAATATTCTCGACTAAAATAACTTAAATATAAAATTCAAAATTTTTACATTTAGAATCTAATCTAATGCCATACCTATTTATATTAAAGAATAAATTAAAAATTTGTTAATATAATTTAATTTTCTGTTTTTTTTTTTTGTAAATATACTAATTTTTATTTCTTTTTCTATAGAAACAAATTTTTTGTACAGTTTAGTGTATCGTTTAGAATATTAATAATTTAGTATTTTATTAATTTTTTCATTGTAAAAATTAAAGCTGAAATATGTACTCTTATGTGCGAATGGTGAAATATTAAAAATAAGAGGCTAAATTAACTAAAGCGTTTAAATTAAAAAAAAATCAATATTCTGCCAATCGATTTAATGCGCTGTACCAAAATGAGTAATATTTAATTGGATCTGTGTATCATTATAAATAATTCTCAATTGAAAATTGGAAAAAGGAATTTTTTACCTTTTTCACAATTAACGGTTAAATTGATAAAAAAAAACCACTGCAAGTGGATTAATCTTTGCAATTTAATTCAGCATCATTCTTTTTACAAAAAAAATTTAATTTAACACATTTCTCCATCAAATAATAGAGAATAATTAAATACTAATTAATTAAGTACCTAGATAATTATAATTAAATATTACTCATGACTAATATCTTTAACGCCGTCTTTATATTAAAAAAAATCGCATTTTATAATCGAACAAGACTAACACAAATTACATTTAAGAGAAATTATCATTTCGAATTATTCAGTTATAATTTGAAAAAAGAATTTTAAAGAAACCAATATTGAAAAAAAACTATTTGCTTCCTTTAAAAATTTTCTTCTAATTACTAATGAACATTATAATTTAAAATAATAATCAACAACTTATTAGTTAATGGTTATTTTTAATTTTTCATGTTATTTAATTTTCCTGTCAGTAGTTTTCAACTACTTAAAAAACTAATTTATAAAAATAATTAGCATTACTAAATGCTCTTATTATTAGCATTACTAAAAATTAATTGTAGTTAGAAATTAGAGGAAATTTTACTACTTTTCCATCAGGAAAAATTTTAAATCGAAAAATGTGTCTCGAAGCGGTAAAATAATTATTCTAACAATAAATAATAATAGTAATTAAATGCACACAAATGATAATGACAAATATTTTGTTCATATTTTCGGAAAATTTTAAATTTTTGAATTTGCAATATTTTTTTGGAATATTACGAATAAATGGATTTTAAATAGATTATTTGAAAATGGATTGTAATAATAAATTAGAGGAATATTATGAAATTCTAATTATTAACTGGATTAATTAATTTGTTTATTTAGTCCAATTACAATTATCGTGATATTCTGAAGTAATTATTTTTCTCTTTGGAGGCAAATTTTTAGCGATTTGATCAGTAAATTAAAGAAATATTTACAATTTCAACGACATTATGAAAAGTTAATTTTTTCAAAATGAAAAAAATTCTAGTCGAAGTAATCAAAATTCTAGTTGAGATTTATTTAAGTCTAAAATTCAACATTGAAATTAATCGAAATTTGCTCCTTTTATCAAGAATTTTATATTAAATACACTCTATCAAAAATTATTATTCAATATTGTACTGAGAATTTCTTTTTTTATGTATGAGTAAATTAAACAAAATGTTTTCTCAGCCTGCGAACTGGAATATTTTTCTACAAGGAAGCAAATAAATGAGAAACTAAATGCGAAACAAATTATAATAATTTATTCTCTAAATCTAAATTAGTTAAAATTGAGTCACTTTAATTCAAATTGGTAATATTTTATTTTTCGGATACAGATTTTTAGGCATTTAATTAGTAAATTAAAGAAATATTTAGTCACTAATTTTTAATTTATTTTTGTTCAAAGATTTTGTGGATTTACTGTTTTATTTAGTTTTTTAACAATTTTTATTCTTTTACTGAAGTTTCAGTGAAAAATGACTAAAAATTGAGTCAACAAATTTAGTAAATTATTTATTTATTAAATTTTCGTTGAAAAATTTAGTGGATTTACTATTTTATTTCGTAGCTCTATTTTCTTTACAAAAGTTTTATTGAAAATTGACTAAAAATTGACTCATTAATTGACACTATTAATATTTTTTGGCGAAGCAGATTTTTATCCATTTATTTAATTAATTAGTAAACTAAAAAAGTATTTAGTGACTAATTTTTGGTAAATTTTTATTTGCTAGTGAATTTACTATATTTTCTTTAGTAGTTTTAATTTTAATTGACTGATTAATTTAAATTAGTAAAAATTTTTTTCTGAGGCGTATTTTTAGTCACTTAATTAGTAAACTAAAAAAATATTTAGTGGCTAATTTTTATTAATAAATTTTTTAATTCAAATTTAGTGGATTTACTATTTTATTTTGTAGTTCTTTTTTTTTACTAAAGTTTTAGTGAAAAATGACTAAAATTTAATCAGCAATTCACATTAGTAATATTTTTTTTCAAGGCAGATTTTTAGCCATTTACATAATCAGTGAACTAAAGAAATATTTAGTCACTAATTTTTACTAAATTTTTCTATATAGAAATTTAGTAGATATACTATTTTATTTCGTAGTTTTTTGTTTACTAAATTATTAGTGAAAAATGACTAAAACTTCTTACTATGCTCACTATTAAAATTTTTTAATGAAGTAGTGGCTCAATGTTCACTAATTCAAATTTAGAGAATATCAATTTCTTACACTAAAAATATTCGATTTTTATTTCAAAGAATTTGTAAATAAATTAGCATGTAAAAATAAAAAAAAAAAACATTGTAAAGAACAAAAAAATAAGTGTAATACTGTTAAATTAATTTAGAAAACGAGCAAAGAGTAATAAAAAAATTTTTATTACAATTTACCATCATTTTTCTTTCATATTTCATACCAAATTTTTTTCACTGTAAAATTTTTAAAAAATTCAAATTTTTTTTTCCAAAAAAATTAATTAAAAACTTTGTTATTTAAATAAAACCGCTTTTTCTCCTCTATTTCTACGTAACTCCCAATGTCCAACGAAAGCTCACTCGGTAATTTACGCAGTCCACGTAAAAACTTGTTTATTCCCTACGGATTCGAAATTGTTTTTCTTTTACAAACAGTTATTTTCCATTTTCCAGCGAAAATTCAAATTTATTTCCCTCTCATTTCCTAATTTCTCCAAAATAATAAAAAATCCCAGTTCTACAATGATTACAAGACTTAAAAGAAAAGAAGTGAAAAAAAATCATCAAAATAAAAAACGTATTTCCCCCAAAAGTATTTGGAATTTGAAGAAATCTTCTTTTACTATCCATCTATGTTCTCTGGCGTATTATCAGAGCTTGCGCGTTACAAAGCTTCACGTGCTTGTCAATGTCCTGATATCAAACGTGCAAGAGAGAGGGGAATGGATCAATACGAGTTTTCCCATGACGTAAACGTATCCTGCTGTCCCTATTGGCTCCAATTTACACCGCATCCCATTATTTATTAAGCCTGCATGAATGAACGACCAACAAACTATGAAAAAAAAAATTTTTTTTCTTTTCTCATTTCTCCCAAAAATTTTTCCAAATTGTTAAAAAATGGAAAAAAATTCTCACAGTAAACATTGAAGGAGAAGAAAGATAAAAAGTAGGAGAGATAAAAGACTGGAAGTAGATGAAAAAAAAATCATGAAATTTTCCGGTTCTTCTGATCAAGATTTCCCACGCATTTGCGTTCATTTCAGGGATGAAACTTGTTTAAGGGAAAAACGAGTCTTAATTTTTCGTGGGGGGTTTTTTTGCCCCCCAATTGTTTCTTCTTTTTCGATTTTACCAAAAAAAAAAAAATTTTCCTCAGGGGGAATTTTCTTTTCTCGGAGTAAAAAAGTAGGGAAACTTTTAAGAAACGTTACTTCGAGGTTACATCGTGAAACGCCCTGAAACCGCCCCTGTTTTCACGTCTCCCCTCCCCACCCTTAAATCTACACACACCAAGAGTTCCGAGAGAGTCAGTGCATATCTGGGTGGACTTGGTGTGTCCGTTTGCGCAACCTCAGCCGCACACAAGTAACATGGTGGCCCCGGTAAAGGCCTCCCGGTGTCGGTGGTCATGTGAACGATTAAATTTCACTGCTAAAAATTAATTGAAAAGAAAAAAAAATCTCCTCTAATTCGCAAAATTTCGCCGAAAAAAAACATTTCCACATTGTTCTTGTCTATAATTGATCTTTTTTGCCCCTCCCACGATTATCGTTGTCTTTGAAAAGTGAAAAAAAGTCCTCTGGAATAAAGGTAAGAGAGGAGAGAGAGAGAGACAGAGTGTGAGAGAGAGAGAGTTTCGAAAAGAGTAGGGGAACTAAGACGAGTATATCGGGGAAGCTCTCTCTGTATCGAAATTGGGGGAAGCGAAAGAGGGACAGAGCGATTTGGTATGCGAGTGAATGGAACGAGAAAACAGTGCAGTTGCGGGGTTAACGTAGTGAATATAAGGGTATATAAAAAAGAAAGAAACTCGTTTTGAAAAATAATTATACACACAGACATATTTACACCACAAACACACATATACACACGAAAAAAAAGAAACAAAAATTAAACAGTGAATATCAAAGTGATTTTCAACATACTAGCAAAAAAGCCAACAAAAAAGAAAAGAAAATAAAGTGTCAAGTTCTAAAAAACAAGAATAGAAAAAAAAGTTTCCAGAAACAATAGGTGTGGAGAATTGAAGAGTCACAAGAGAATCGTTTCGTCAAAAAAATAATCCCCGAGAAAAAAGACAAAAAGGTTATAATAACCTTTTTCTCAACTTTTTTTCCAGAAAACAAGAAAAAATACTTAAAATTTGCCCTTTAATATTAATAATACACAAACAAAAATACAACTTTTCAACGAGAGAATAAACTAGAAATTTTTTTCTTTTCTAAATAACGAGGAGTTTGCCCGCGAGATGCAGTCGCGCAACCAAAGGTTAGTCCAATTTCTGCTTATGAAAAATCGAATGACCTATTGCCTTATAGAAAGTCTCGAATGAAAAAACCAGGGTTTTATCATTGTCTCAATTTTTCTCCAAATGAGATATACAAACCACAAATACACACTTTTTTCCACTAATTTTTCCATTTTCTAAATAAATATATATTAAAAAAAGAATTTTAAATACTAAAAACAAAGAAGAACAAAAAAAAAAACTATAATAATAATATGAGTCAATTTTCAATAGAGCTCCAAATGAGAAATGAGAAGATCCCAAAGGGGGTGGACACACTGCTCTTTTGCCTGCTCACAAAAGATAGTTAATTGTGAATGTATAAATGTAGTTAGGCAAAGCGATTGAAAATAATTAACAAAATAATTAAGGAAAAATTATTAAATATATAAATAAATAAATATATATATATATGTGAATAAAAATTTCGATGTAAGAAGATAATTAATGATGAGTGTTATAAAAAGGAGATAAAATAGAGGGGGAAAAAGTGAAAAAAAGGGGGGAAGAAGTTGAAAAGTGAGGAAAAGTGAAGAAAAAAGGAGAATAAGGAGAAAATAGAAGAAAAAAGAGGAAAAAAGGAAAATAACAAGAATATAAGAGAGGAAAAAGAAAATTAACAAGAAAATAAAACAGAAAAGTAGAAAATGACAAGAACATAACAAAGAAAGAGTAAACTAAGAAAGAAAATATAAAATAACAAGGAAAAGAAGAAAATAATAAAGAGAAGAAAATAAACAAAGAAAATAAAAAATAACAAGAAAAGAACAGAAAAAAAAGCGAAATATTAAAAAAGAAATAAAATAGTAAAGAAAAAGGGAAAATATTTAAGGAGCAGAACAAAGAAAAAATAAAGAAGCAAAGTGACAAAGAAGGAAATAAAGGAGAAAATAAAGAAGTAAAAAAACGAAGAAAAAACAAAGCAGACATAAAAATAACAAGAAAGAAGGTAACAAAGAAAAAAAGAAGAATAACGAATAAAACAAGAATTAAAAATAGGAAAGAAAAATAACTAATAAAGAAGAAAAGTAATAAACAAAGAAGCAAAAGAAGAAGTGAGGAAGCAAGATAAAAAAAAGAAGTAAAAGAGGAAATAAAGAAGCAAAGAAGAAAATTAAGAGCAAAGAAAAAATAAAGACGCAGAGAAAGAAATAAGAAAAATAGAAGCAAAGTGGAAAATAAAGCAGCAAAGTAACAAAACAAAGAAGGAAGTAACAAACAAGCGAAGAAAGAAAATAGGAAGCAACAACAAATAAAAAAAGAGAAGTAACTACAAAAAAAATAAAAAAGTAGGGAAAAAAAGGATCTGCAGTGAAAAATAAAGAAATTAAGTAACAAGGAAGCAAAATAAAAGGAAGAACAATAATAAATAAGGAAGCAAAGTGGAAAAATATAGAGAAACACCTGATAGTAAATAAACAGCAATAAAAAAAGAAAAGTTAGAAATAAGGAAGCAAACTTAAAAATAAAGAAGCAAAGGCAGAAAAAGGAAAGAAACAAAAAGCAAATCAACAAAAAGAAAAGTAACACAAAGCAAAGTAACAAAAAAGAAAAGTAAGAAAAAGGAAAAAGGTGAAAATAAAGAAGCAAAGAAGCAAAGAAGCAAGAAAGCAAAGGTGGAAAAAAGAAGCAAACTAACAAAAAGCAAACGAAGAAAAAAGGAAGCAAAGTGACAAAGAAGCAGAGGAAGAAAAAACAAAACAAAGTGAAAAATAAAGAAGCAAATAAAAATAAAGAAGCAAATAAAAATAAAGAAGCAAAATAACAAAAAGGAAAAAAATAAGGAAGGAAAGGAACAAAAGAAAGAAAGCAAAATAACAAACAAAAAAGAAAATAGTAAAGCAGAGAAAAGAAATAGTAAAGCAAATTAAAAGACCCAAGTAAGCAAAAAAGAAAAAACAAATATTGAGGACCCTTGGCCAGACGAAAAACGGAAGAGAGAATGCGAAAGCCTCACAACATCCTGTGATCATGACTTGTTATATGGATGCAGCGAGCGGTGGTCAAACAACGAAGAGTGCCTCACAGAAATATTGCGAGGTGAAAAAAGTGTCGCGGACCGGTTCAACAATCGCGGGTTGTTACTTGGATGTGAATTACAATCATCATCATCATCATCAATTGAGAAAAAAGAAAATCGTCTCGTCGTCGTCGTCGTCGTCATCGCATTGCAAACAATTAGTGGCAAGCAATGTGGTAATTAAAATCATCATCATCATCAATATCATCAACATTATCACCATAATCACAATAATCACCATCATATTCATAACAACAAGTGACAATTCATCATCGTTAAATCATTTGAAATTGTCGACAATAAAAAATGTGTCGCGCGTATTAATTTCAAGTCGTGCGTATAATTTCAAGTCGACGGAACCTAACCTCCTTATCATCAACGGTAATAATAATAATAATAATAATAATAATTTATTGAATCAATTTTGTCGTCGCGGTGTGCGTTTACTTGGTGGCGGATGACTCGTACGGGACAAAATGTCGTAGTGTTAGACGTTGCACTAGTGGAGTTAGCACGAGATCAGCGCGATAATAAAGGGACAATTTATAGTTATTGTAATTGTTGTTGTTGTTGTTATTGTTGTATTGGAAACTGTGACGCGACAGTGTTTCATCATCGACGTGGTCATCGTTGGCAATTGTGGTGTGCCGGTCTTTTACACGGCGGACAACCGGAAGCATCCGGTCATCAAGTGACTCGGCTTACAAGGCCGAGACCGTGATGGCGGACCTTCCAGATATATCTTATCTCACTCCGGAGGAAAGGCGCATCATTGAGGATGTCATCATGCGGCAAAAGCAAGAGGAAGAGCGCCAAAATGAGATTATGAGGTCAGAGCAACTAATTCTTTTCTATTCTTTTCCATTCTTTTCTCTTGTTTATTTTTATTCACTTTCTTTTATTTCTCGCTCTCTCTCTCTTTCTTTTCCTCCTCTCTAAATCTGAATTAGTTAAAAATTACTAATTAATAGTAAAATCGTGCCTGAGTTTTTGCTTCAGCAATTAGCATAAAAAATAACTAATTCTTAACTACAGTAATTAATTGACTTACAAATAATTAGTAGAAGTTTATTAATTCAATTTGTAAAATAAAAATTACTGATTCAATCAGTTCTCTAAAAATATGACACTCATCGTCAAATTTACTAATTTAACAGTTAATTTTTAAGGTTATGTTTCTTTTTTTTTCTGCTACCAGTATAATCACTGATTGTATCAGTAATTTTGCAAAAATTAAATTATTAATTAGTTAAAATTAAATGTGTTGAATTATTCCGATTTAATGAAAACCTTTTTTTAAATTCAATTTTTTAAAAAAAATTTCTTTTTCATTAAATTTAAAACTGCTTAAGAATATTTCCCTCAACTACTAATTTCTTAATTAGACAATACGAATAAAAGTCGAAGAACGTCCATTAACTAATGAAATTAGTAGTAAGTTATAAAATTAGTGGTACACGTTTTCGTGAGACAAACGAATTATTAAAAAAATAGAAAAGATTTCTAAATTTTATGAAATATGTAGTACAAGTTGTTGATAGTCAGACAATTTGTAAAAAGTATAAAAAAGTCAAATTAGTTAGAAAATAAGTAGAACAGATCTTTGTCAGTCAGACATTCCTCGAAAAATAGTAAAAAGTTCAGTAAATTTCTCAAATAAGTAGCACACGTTTTTTATAGTCAGACAATTTGTAAAAATTAGTTAAATGTCCACTAAGATTAAAAATTAGTAGTACAGATTTTTGTCAGTCAGACAATCCTCAAAACATAGTCAAAACTTTAGTAAATTCTGAAATAAGTTGTACAAGACTTTGAGAGTCAGACACTTTGTCAAAATTAATTAAATAGTCACTAAGTTAGAAAATAAATACTACAGATCTTTGTTAGTCAGACATTCCACGAAAACTAGTCAAAACTTTAGTAAATTTGCAAATAAGTAGTACAACTCTCTGATAGTCAGTCAATGTGTAAAAAGTACTCAAAACAGTATTTATTAATAAAAATAAGTAGAACAGATCTTTGTCAGTCAGACATTCCTCGAAAAATAGTAAACGACTATTTAGAAATAAGTAGTAAAAGACTTTGATAGTCAGACAATTTGTCAAAATTAATTAAAATGGTCACCAAGTTAAAAAATAAGTAGTTCAGATTTTTGTCAGTCAGACAATCCTCGAAAAATAGTCAAAACTTTAGTAAATTCGCAAATAAGTAGTTCAAGTCTTTGATGTGTGATAAGTATAGTACAAGACTTTAATATTGAGAGAATTCATAAAAAAAGTAAAATATTCAGTTCGTTACTATTTAAGTTGTAAAACTAATTACAAGTCAAAACAAATGATAAAAACGTGTAAAAAAATTAATTCTTCAGGGAATCAGTAGTACAGGTTTTTATCAGCCAGACAATTCATGAAAACTAGTAAACAGGTACAAAAGTATAAGTCTTCGTTAGGCAGACAATTTTAAAAAAATTTGTCAAAGTCCAGTAAGCTATAAAATAAAATTAAGTAGTAGAGTTTTTTGGCAATCAAACAATTCATGAAAGGTAGTAAAAAGTTCACTAAACTATGAAATAAGTAGTACAAGACGTTGTTAGTCAGACAATTTGCAATGAGTTGTAAAAAAGCCAGTAATTAGAAAAATAAGTAGTAAAGGTCTTTATCAGTCAGACAATTGATGAGGATTACTAAAAAGTCTAGTGTAAAATAAATAGATCAGGATCATAATCAGTAAGTTATGAAATAAGTAGTACAAATATTTATAAGCCACACAATTCGTGAAAAAGACTTATGAATTTTTCCTTGACAATTATCAGTATCATTTTTCACTCAAATAATTAATTAACTTGTTTTATTAACTTTGAATAATTGTCTGTAACTGAAATAAATCCGTTTTCAACATTTAATTACTGTCAGTGTAATTAATAGTTATTTTTCTAAATATAAAGCTGATTTGCTATATGAAAAGTTGTCAAGGTAGACTTCATGTGCGCAAATAACTTTTCGAAAGAGTGAAATTTGAATAGCAGTTAGTAAAATTGTATTTTATTTCATTTTATGTTATTTCAAATGTAGCAAAATTTTTCATTTAATGCGTTTCGAGATGTAAATATTTGACAATTGATTGAACGTGTTTCACATGATGCATTAATTGGGTAATTGTTTGAAGTGTCTGATTCAACAGATCTAGACCATTATTTACTGTCGGTAATTTTCATTTAGTGAATTCATTTAATAATCTCTTGTATTGTCAAAATAAAAGAATCGTCTTTATCAATCGTCTTTTTTCCTATAAATATATACGTTTATAAATGTTTACATATACTCACTAATCAATATTTATGTAATCACTAATAAATATTTATGTAATCTCCAATAAGTATTTATGTAATAATTAATAAATATTTATATAATTGTTTAATAATATTAATATAATTATTAAAAAATATTAATACAATTTTTAAAAATAATTAAGGTAAAAAAAATTTACATGTAAATATTAATAAATATTATGTATTTTAAAAAATTAAAACAACAAAAATGAATTTGCTTTATAAATTAAAAGGAAAAATTGTAATCTCGAAATTGTAAAAATAGAGACGTAACCATGTTAATAAGAATTTGTCCCACCTTTCGCGACTGTTTCTACTTATTTTAATGCCTTACGCGTTACGATTCTTCTCATGGCTGACCATAAACGCATTTTACTACTGGAAATTCCCATATGGGATAAATAACACACACACATACAAATATTTTACTTCATAAATTTCGAATTTAAAAAAAAATATTTCCCTAGTGACTTTAAATAACAGATTTTTCATTTTATTAATAATTTATTATTTTGTAAATTTAATTATTACCTTAATTCACCGTGACTGAATAAATTATTAACTTTAAAAATGTATTTTCTTTAAAATCATTTATTTATATCATACCCAATAAAATAATTGACATTTTTCCTGTAATTCATGTTAAAAGAATTATTATCGCATTTATATATGAACAAAAAAAAATTCATTTACTTAATTCTTTGGAAAATATTAAACTATTAAGTTGATTGAAAGATGGTGGCTACGTGTTCTCGTACCTATTTTCTCATCTCCACTTGTAAATCGAGCCTTGGCCGATTTATCTCTCCTTGGTTTATTTACGGTTAAATGCAAATCGGAAGGTATTGAATTTAAATTTAAAAAATCAATGTGATATCAGAATTTAAAAAACGTTTTTTTTTTTTAAATAACATATAGCAGTAATCTATAATTAAAAATTCAGTGGACAATTTTCTTTTCTATACTTTACAATTATTTCACTTTTCTAATATTAATTATATTATTAATTATGTAATTATTTGAATTTTTAATTTAAATTACTATATAAAATACTAAAAAAAGCACGAAATAAAATAAACGACTTTCTCGACTTTTTTGTATTTTTAATTTAATTATTTTTAGTCGGGTAAATTAATTATTCATAGGAATATATTCCCAAAGTTTCAATAAAAAATTCCAGAAATGTAATTGAATATTTCGTGCTATTAGGGCCAATAAGTCAGGCAAAACAAAAATTATTTTTAAAAAAGTCCAGTAAATTATTAAATAAGCAGTACAAGTATTTATCGGTCAGCCAATTCGTAAAAATTAGCAAAAAGCGTATAATTCATAAAAAATAAGTAGTTCAAGTCTTTAGCAGTCAGACAATTCGTAAAAATTTGGTAAAAACACATCAATTCATAAAAATAAATAGAACAGATATTTGTCAATCAGAGATTCCACGAAGAATAGTCAAAAGTTCAGTAAGTTCTGAAATAATTGAACCGCCGGATCGTAGAAGGGCATATAGCCCATTTGAATTACATTGGCTATATGCCCTTCTACGATCCGGCGGTTCAATTAGTACACGACGTTGATAGTCAGACAATTTGTAAAAATTAGTTAATTGACCATTAAGTTTAAAAATAAGTAAAACAGATCTTTGTCAGTCAGACATTCCACAAAAACCGTAAAAAACTCAGTAATTTCTAAAATAAGTAGTACAAGTCTTCGATAGTCAGACAATTTGTCAAAATTAATTAAATGGTCAGTAACTTAAAAAATAAGTAGTACAGATTATTGTCAGTCAGGCAATCCTTGAAAAATAGTCGAAAGTTCAGTAAATGCTCAAATAAGTAGTACAAGTCTTTAATAGTCAGGCAAAATGTAGAAAGTACTGAAAAGAGTATTAATTAATAAAAATAAGTAGTACAAGTAGCAATTAGTCAGACAGTTTGTAAAAATTTGTAAAAAGCGTATTAATTCATTAATGTAAGTAATACGAGTCTTTATCAGTCAGACAATTCGAAAAATTAGTAAAAAGCGTATTTATTCATAAAAATAAGTAGAACAGATATTTGTCAGTCAGACATTCCACGAAAAATAGTGAAAACTTTAGTAAATTCGCAAATAAGTAGTACAAGTCTTTGATAGTCAGGCAAAATGTAGAAAGTATTGTCAGTCAATTTGTAAAAAAATATTGTGAAACAAAATATTGTTGAAAGTATTGTCAGTCAATTTGTAAAAAATTTTGAAATGTTTAGTAAGCAATAGAAAAAGTAGTTTTAGTCTTTATCAGTCAGACAATTCAAAAAATTAGTAAAATGCGCATTAACTCATAAAAATAAGTTACACAAGTCTTTATCAGTCAGACAATTCGAAAAATGTTGTCGACGATTGTAAATAAACATATTATATTCATATTATTTTAGAGAACTAATTTTTACCGTCTTTTAAAAATTCCAATCTTATATACACGGCTTGTCTATTTTAGCATTCTACACGTATATATTTATAAACATA